TGTACGTACAGTTTAGGGATACATAAAATGTAACAAAGGGGATATCAAAGATAAACAGACAAACTGTTGAGCACTGTCAACATTACTGTAAAATTGACTGCACTCACAACATCAACAACTTTCCCGTTCGAAATTTCAGAAGAAGGATGCTATAACTCGATACGCCATTAGCCAAAATCAACTTCTCAAACCACCAAGTATGTAGGTAGGTTTACTTTCTATACCACCAATGATATTTATAGGATTCTCAAATCTTATCCGGCCAGTACCCCGACAACCATCATGTATATCTGATTTTCACATTTTCAGTTTAGCAGCCCTCCTGTTTTAAATGTCTGTGATTAGTTGCTGAACCAAGACTAACATGCAAAAAAAGTATGCTGCTGAGAGTCTCACGGATAGCATCCACAGCACTTTAATTTTGAAGTATAAATCAGAATGACAAGTAGGCAAACATATCAATGCTTAAGTATTAAACCTGTGATCTATGGACATGATCCACTGGGAACACATTACATACGGTGGCTTTATGTAGCAGCAGTAGAACAATTGGAATCAAATAAAATCAAGATGCAGCTTATTTATACCAAACAAAAATATTGGTTTAGATCACCAAAATTTTTGAAATTACTATCCCATAAGACGAAAGCCCTGAAGTCAGCTAATAGGATCTCTGCTATAAAAAGTCGGAATGGAGACGTTTTTAATAACAATGATTCTATATCTGATGTTTTTGAAGAATACTATAAAAAATTATACACTTCCTGTCCACTAGACCATGAACGGATGATTTCTTTTCTAAAAGGCAAAGACATAGTGCCCAGATTGGAAGAGAGCCATAAGCTATTGTTAGAAGAACCTTTTACTAATGAAGAAATTATGGAGGTTATAAAATCATTAAAACCTATGAAGACCCCGGGCCCTGATGGGTACACATCAGAGTTCTATAAAATGTTTGCAAAATCTCTAGTGCCTCATCTGACTGAAGCATGTAATGAGGTTCTGACTTCAGGATACTTTCCACCTTCGTGGCGTGAAGCTCACACAGTCGTAATTCTAAAAAAGAATAGGGATCCTTTGGATCCGGCATCCTATCGACCCATCTCCCTCCTTAACCAAGATTTTAAAATTTTAACGGCAGCTCTGGCCAAGAGAATAAACACATTTATAGCTAGATATATTAAAAAGGATCAGGTCGGTTTTATCCCTGGTAGGGATTTGGCAGACAACACTATTAAAACGATGTCCTTACTTCGTCATTCCCAAAGGAACAAACTTAATATGGCCTTTCTATCACTTGATGTGGAAAAGGCGTTTGATTCGGTTGAGTTCCCATATCTTTTTTCTGTGTTAGAAACAATGGGGTTTGGACAGAGATTTTTGTCTACTATTAAAACATTGTATGCTTCTCCCATTACTAGAATTAAAGTTAATGGAATGTGCTCCAAACCCATCCCACTTTTACGTGGTACTCGGCAGGGGTGTCCATTATCCCCCATCCTATTTGCGTTATCGCTTGAGCCACTGGCCAATGCCATAAGAGCACATCCGGACATTGCTGGTATCAAACTACGCACACAGGAACATAAAATTGCTTTATTTGCAGATGATATGGTGCTCTTCTTAACAAACCCCATAGTGTCTCTACCTGCCCTGCAAGAGCTCTTAAATCAATTTGGTTTATTTTCGGGATTAAAGATTAACGACTCTAAATCACAACTGATGCCAATTCATCTAAATAGCACGGAAGAAAACTTCATAAGGGAGACATTTGAGTTTAATTGGACGACCACAGAGATGCAATATTTAGGTATCAAGATTAGCCTGGATAGCTCTAAAATGTTTTCACTAAATTACTTGACTATGCATGCGGAAATAACTCAAAAGATGAATAAATGGAGTAAATTACACCTTAACTGGTTTGAAAAATATAACTTAATCAAATCCTTTATCTTACCAAAGTTTATTTTTTTATTCAGAACAATCCCTCTTAGTATCCCAAATGCGATGCTCAAAAAATGGCAATCTTCTTTAAAAAATTTCTTGTGGAATAAAAAGAAACCTAGAATAAGCTTCTCAATTTTACGAAGGCCAAAAAATCTAGGGGGCTTTGCTCTCCCGGATATAGCATTTTATCACAGAGCAATCTTGTTAGCTACAGCGGTTAAAATGTTACACACTACTGTAAGACCTCTATGGGTGAATATAGGGGATGATTTGATATTTCCAAAGCTTCAAAATCAACTAGAGATGATTGTTTTTAAAAAGTCACCCTAGCTTATTCTGTACCTCTCAGGTGGCAACCATCTGTCATTTGCAAAATATCTCTCTTGATGAAATGCATTAAAAAACCATAAAACTGACCACAGATTAGATACTGGTTCCTGGGAAGCGAACACACGACCTCTTATTACTTTTCGAGCATTCTGCAGAAACTCTCTGCCCTCATGACCCCAATGGAAACAAGTTATCAAACATTTTATATATTTTAATGCAGAAACAGAAGCTACAAGGTGGGAGCGACTCACTGAAAAGCAGCAATGAACCCTGGCACAAAGAGAAATTTAGGTTGGCAGTTAAAACTATTCTATTACAATTTCACCAAAAAAACAACCTTTCACAAACTGTCACCCAGTTAGCGCTTGTGATGATGAAGCTGGTTTGTTGGAACTGGGCTATGGAGTCAGGATCATTTCACACTGCACCAAATTGGCTTTAATAATGACTTCCTGGAAAAGACTTTAACAATATCTGGCCTGAAAATTTGAATTCAAGGGTACATAGACGCACAATAGAAGTCCTTCTAGATGCAGCCAAAACAGCAATAGCATTGTACTGGAAGGAGAAAGAGGCACCCTCAGTAGAAATATGGTATAAGAAACTTTGGACTCATTACTTAATGGATGCAGTCTCCAACAAACTAAATTGCATGTCACAAAACCCAATAAAGTCTAATTTCATAGAGAAATGGTACCCAGTGCTAGATTATCTGTCACAAAAACAATTTATCTCATCTGATTGGTCTCAATATCACAAATGGATATAAGATTAATGCAATGTCCAGTTCCGCAAATTCTCATACTTACTTACTTATATCATCTCCACTAGCTCTAATATTTCCTTTTCTTTCTTCTCTTTCTTACCGCTCCAATAGTTCGGGATGCTTCCTAATGTTCCTATCAAGTTTACGCTAAGTCTGTTATCTTTCTACTGAAATCATATTCGGAAGTGTGTTGAGTAATGTATTGTAATTCTTTGAACATGTTATAACGTTGTACATACGCAGGAACTATTTACAGGATGTGAATGTAATTGGAAAATTAATTGTTCACTGTTTGAAGTGTTAGAATTGTTAAAAATTGAAAAAATAAATTAAAAAAAAAAAAAAAATGTAGCAGCAGGGAGTGCAAAAGTTGTATTGGTATTACGGAATAAACATAACACAGTCATACTTATGCTGTGATACATATGGCTGCTCAAGGTGACCACCACCTTGGGTATCATGCCTTAGGCCAACTGTAAGAGCAGCATTTTAATAACTGGGGGGGGGGGACCAAGAGAAAAAACGGCTGTTAAATAGTTGCCTATAACAATCTGAAACCAAGTTCTGTAAATCAGTCTGTAAGGATAATAAAACAGTAACATCACATTTAACTAAATTACACTAAATTACAAAAAAGACGGCATTCTAAATGAGAAACAATTTCAACTTTTATATTGTTAGACAATTTTTTTAAATGATATGACTGAAAAAATTAAGCCTACTTGCAATAGAAATAAGCTTTTTCTGTACAGTTTGATGCTTTTGTCTATACCATCTATAGTAGAAAAATAAATTCTTTAGCAACCTAGAAACAGTTTATAAAACTCTTGAAGATTAATTATTTTTCTTAACATGCCTATGTTAAACTGATGGCTATAAATAAAAGCTATTTAGGCAACAGATGTAATGTAAAAAAAGTTAATGCTACTACATTTACAGGACAATTTTTATTATTGTGTTTATATCCTGTGTGCTTTGAATTGGAATAGATTTTTGTTTGTTTTTTTTAGAAAAGATAATTACTTGCAAGAATATAACACAAATATCAAGATAATTTATAATATACAAATACTTCAACAGCAGCCTGGGTTATGGTATTTTAAATGATAATCAGAATCATAATGGAAGTACAATACCTAGGACATAACAATTGAAAAAGGCAACTTTTATTTTAGATATACGAAGCAAAGCTCTTAAGAAAGTTAATTCTTTAAAAACTTTGCCAATCAACCTCTTATGAACTTCTATATTAAAGATGTTCTACTAGGTATAGTAGATCACAAATCAGGAATTAAGATTACAATGGAGATTGTAAAGGTTTTTTTTTAATTTTCTCAAAATTTCCCAGCAGCTGAATAAATCAGAACATTAAGGAAAATGACAGAAAGGGGAACTTAAAATATTATTAGGCTCTAATCAAACCTGATCCATGATTTCTAGCCTTTGATCACATTCATCAACACTAAAGGCTAACTAAGAAAGTTTCTGGGAAACTAAGCAGCAATCTTTTACAGTAAAACTTGTACCAATGTAAAAGAAAAAGAACTTTAAAATGGTGCAAACAGCCATTTTGAATTTTTAGTACAACAGTTCACATTAAAAAACATGAATACAAGGCCATTTTATATACATTAAGATGCTTCAGTACCCAAAGTATTTATTGCTATATATTAGCAACTTTTATACCTTTAAAGGGCCACAGAAAAATATAGTGTATAAGTTAAATTTAAGTCCTAGATTGTTTGGTTTAGAGAGTTTACACTACAACAAATTTTGTATTTATGTATGAAAAGTTATAAACTTATATGAAAATGTCAACTTTTTTTCTATATACTAGATGAACTCCCCTGTGGGAAAATTAAAATATCTAAAATATATTACATAAAGTTTACAAGATCAATGATATTTCAAACATGCAACTGTGTACAGAATTAACAGTATTATAAAGTGTTTTATTCTTTAAAGTAAATAAAAGTAGGTAACAGCAACATTTTCGCACAACAGTTAAACTCACTTTTACAATAAGCATGTCCTTGGTATTGTGCTGTAATAAAAAAATTTCTAACCCCTCAAACACAAATGTCCACAGGTTTCTTTAAAGGAAATGGAAGGAGTGGAATAGTATTTTTAGCAGTGCAGTTTATGTTCTCTGAAAAGAAGTATACTGTAGCATAAGTAGTTTGGGGGTTTTACAAATAAAATACAGCTGTGTTTTAGCTGTTCACAGCAACTGGCTAAATGGGAATGGAATTATCAGGAAAAAAGAACATTAAACAACAAAAACAGCCCTAAAGCAGGCTGTAAGCATTGAATGTTCCATAAATGATTGATTTAATCATTACATTTCTATAGAAAATTTTTATTCACAATATATTGTGACAAAATTGTCACAGGAATGATAGTGATTGCAATAAATGTTCATGCAACAGCAGCTTTGCATTTTAGTTATTTTTGTTTAAAAAATTAAACCTCTTCAGTCATGCTAATCACATAATTCTGACCTGGGTGTTTATGAACAAGGTGTATAGTATGTCTACAACAAATATTTCCCAGTTTGGATCCAAATACTTCCATAAATATGAAAGCAGTTTTTCCGTCTTCAGAACATGCATCTCTAGTTTTTCTTTCTATCCAATTCCAGGCTGACTGCAACCATCTTCTTACTGTAAGCCGTTATATTTAAATAATACCAAGAGGATCTGCTTGCAACTGTGGTTGTATTAGCTGAGGTTGTAGAGGTGGTGGTAACTGTAGTGGTACGATTGGATCCACCATTTGCACTGGGTTAGAAGGTGGAGGCTGGTGTGCCACACTCTCAGAAGTTTCTAAAATGTCTCCATTATAAAAGAAAAACTGGCACTGTTGAATGAATGTTTCTATTACTGACTGGAGAATCTTGGTGGTTGAAAGGAACTCTCTGTTTTCAAAGTCAGGTCTCATCAAAGTTGGCCAGAAACAGATAGATAAGTTGTCTGCAGTCATAAAATTGGTTCTACTTTGCTGGCTAACCCTAAAATAAAACAAAGATATTCAACAGTTAGATAAGCAAAACTTAAGGAGATGAAAACACAATTTATTAGAACATATTTCAGGAATCCTTCTGAAACACTTCTAAATTAGCAAAGTTGATGTAGGTATACGTCCTAACAATATTGCAGCTATTGAAGCACTTACTAAGGTAGGAAATTAAGGTGAGGAATCCACCCAGCACTGCATATACTGGACATCACAATTCAGAGACAGGGGTTAGTTCAGCAGAATAGATAATAGTGCTGATCTACAGCAACATTTCTAAATATCAATGCTTCAAAGTATTCTAAATAAACTAGGAAGGTATATCAACCAAAATTTTAGGCCAGCAGATGCACTAATTTTTCTAAGCAGAAAAAAAATAAAGAAGGAGGTTGCAGAAGATTAAGATTTCTTAAGATTGCTGGATCTATGAAGGAGTAATTCAGACATACAAAGGTTCACATAAACTTTGCAACTAACCTTTTTCCTGGTTGCTTATTCAACCGTCATTGCTCCCAAACAAAGCACCAAACTAGACCTAATTGGAGATCACAAATCTCCATCAATATTTTAAAGGGAAATTACAGCTGCATGTGAGCCCAATTTGAATGGGGAACATGGGACAGGGCAAGAAAGAGGATTTAACCTCTGCACCATTTTAATGATAATCCAAACCACCTCTCTCTGCACTGTGATGACTCATACAGGCACAGACACATTGGTTCCATTTGCAAAACTGTGTAAGTATGAGAAGGTTAAACCCTCTGATGTTTCCCCACTTTTGCTGTGAAATCCCTGGGTGTTTGACAAGACACCAGATCTATCTATGACATTTTAATCACACCCTTTGTCTAAGGTGAAGGTGGTATACACAATTCTCTCCTCTATTTTTTTTCTAAACAGTCTTCTGAGTCAAATTAAGCTGAGAGAGACAGACAGGGTGTGTGTAACTGGTCCAAGGTAACCCAGTGAGCTTCATGGCTAAGTAGAAATTTGAGTCCAAGTCATAAAACAACACTAAACATTAGATTATGAGCAATGGGGATAGGAGAAACCTGAGTGGAGCTTTGTCTCACCCTTTGCAGGTTCACCTTTAAACCCTGAGCTTGTTGGAGACACAAGTTAAAAGGCAAGAACCAAAGGCTCCTACGCCTGTGGGTTGAAGCCTGAGAAACCACTGATCTAGACCAAGAGGAACAACATCAGGCAGTGATCTGGATTTTCCAGGAAAATTTTCTTTTCTTTTTTTTTTGTACCCCCCGAAGGGGATGTTTTTTATTGCATTTTCTAATAACTACATACTAAAAACTACAAACAGAAAATCCAAGAAAGGGGAACTACATCTATGGGAGAAAGTAAAGAAAACCCTCTAAAAACCCGAGAGATGGTGATCATACATACGTTTACAAATTTATCTTTAAAGTTAAGCCCAAGTTAACTTTCCTTGAAAATGACCATCTATCTAATTAAACATAAGTGCTTCATCAACATTTCTAATTTCATAAAAAGATTGTAGAACGATATACAATAAACTTCTTTTTAGATATTCCAGAGCACATTGCTACTCTATTTTTTCCCCTTTCTGTGTCTCAAATGATAGCCTTGTTTAGGACCCCCCCCCCAATTTAGAGTCAGAGTCTTCCTCAGAGGATCCAGCCTCTCCTTCTTCCTCGCTCTCTTTGGCATCATTGGTCGCACTTTCTTTGGTTGGACTGCTATGTTGACGCAAAAATTCACAAGCCTTTTCAACAGAGTCACTCCTTTCTTTACCATTTGCATATCTGAAGATTAGTCCCTCGGGTGTTAACCATCTGTAGGCAACATCATGCTTTTGTAGAAATAGAGTCAAGTCTCTATATTTCCTTCTTTTCCTTCTTATCTCAAATGGAACATCTTTCAGTATTCTTATATCATTGTCTTTTATCTTCAAGGTAGCTCCATTGGATGCTTTCAGTAATTGGTCTCTCACTTTTCTTCGAGAGAATCTTATTGTAACTTCCCCTGGCAAATTATTCTTTCTAATAAATTCTGAATATGATCCGTTGACCGTATCTATTTCGCCTTGAAGTTGATCCGATGTCATCTCTGCCATGGGTGCAAGAGCGTGCGAGAGCGTCGCCGACAATCTGTCTCAGATTCTCTCCTTTCTCTTCTTGGATACCTTGAAGTCTCAAGAAATAGCTTGCTCTTTCCATTTGAAGCTGTAATACTCGAGATTCTTCGATTTGACACCTTTTCCGTAGTGCCTGCAGTTTTTTTACCCATCTTTTTAAACTTGATATCAATCACTTTAAGCTCCTGCTCCGTTTTTTCGATTTTCTGTGTGTTTGCAACCATTTGCGCTTGTGTGTCCAGCTTGTTGTAAATTGCCGTGATTTTCTCCAGCAGAGGGCAAAGTGCTTCCGACAAGAGCCTCTGAAGTTCTGCTGTTGAGTCCTGTCTAGGGGCAGAACTTGCAGGGCTGGAACTTCCGGGAAGAAGCTTTGCTTTCGCTTGTTTATCTCGAGACTCCTTCACCGTTGGCAGCGCCATGTTTGAGAATTGTTTGCTTTTTGTCAAAGTCTCTAGAGATTCTTTTGTAATGCGGTAAGCTCTTACAGTCTCTTTATTTTATTCCGTTTGCTTTTTGTAGTAGCCCATCTAGCATGACTGATTTGCAACACAACAGCTCTATGCTCTGATATGACAGCTTCACTTATCTGAGCCAGGCCTTCTGCAGGAACAAATGGGCAAGATGGACAACTACCTACACATGAGCATTTTATTTATTCATTCATTATTATTCAAATTTGTAGCCCGCCCTCCCCGCAATGCAGGCTCTCTGCTTTGATCTCCACCTTATGTAATGACCTGCTTGAGACAGCCAAAAAGGCTCCCACTCTCCTGGCATTTCACAAACTATGCAAAACTAAATTACTCAGGAGAGTATTTTTATAAAAGTAATAAGGATTTATCATAATGGAATGGTTCAGAAAGAATGCTTTAATAAAAGGAAACAAATGGGACTACATTATTGTGTACAGTATGTACTGTTGCTGCATGCATTATCCTATAAGTAATTTCTGCATTTTTATGAGCCTCAAAAGAAAGGTGGACTGTAAGTAAACAAATAAATTTACAGAAGAAGGGGGACCCGTGATACTCGCGGGGGGAGGAGAAGCTCCACGGGAGAAGGAAGCAGCCGCAGGTGAGCCTTCTCCCCTGACCCCCGTCCCTGGCACCCACGGCGAGGCCCGCACCCCTCCAAGCTTCCCCCTTCTCCTAGCGGAGGCAGCAAGGCCTTGCTGCCCCCCCCCGAACTTTCTCCCTCCCCCACTGGCAGCGGTGGTGGCAACGAGGCCTCGCTGGCCCGCCAAGCTTTCTCCCTCCCTCCCCGGGGGCAGCGAGGCCTCGCCGGCTTGCCCAACTTTCTCCCTCCCTCCCTGGTGGCGAGGCCTTGCCGGCCCGCCAAACTTTCTCCCTCCCCCCTGGGCGGTGGCGAGGGCTGAGCGGCTTACAGCCACCGTCCAGCCAAGCCTTCTCCCCCTCTCTGGTGGCAGCGAAGCCGTTCTGAGAGCATTTCCTGCACATGCGCAGGGGGTGCTCTTTTACCTTTTTTTTACAGTTTTCAGATTTTTCTGCACACCTGGGCATTGCCCCACATGCGCAGGAAAATCTCCCTGCCCCCCAGGTGCCCCTGATGTGCAGATTTAGATATCCACACACAGGGGGCGCCTTGGGAATTAGATATATAGATATGTGGGTTGGAAATTTTTCCACATCACTGACTCCAGTCTGAGAAACCTCTTCAGCTGCAAAGGACAAGGTTTTAGCAGTGGCAGCAGCCTATGGAAACAATATCTAGGACTTAATATCTATGCCCTCTAGTTACTAATCTTGCTTTTAAGGTTATGACTTCAAGTATGTTTAGCTTCAGCAGCTGTACAGGTCTGGAGAGCATACATGAACACACCTATAAAACACACACACAAAAAGATCAACACTTAAGGACCTCAAAGCAAGCAGTGGTAAGTCAGAAAGAATATGATAATCAAGGGGGACAAACATATGAAGCATGGAGTACAGAAGTGACTCTCACAACTTTAGAGCTAGCTACATACAGGGTCTAGTCTACAGTTACAGAGAATCACACATAACTGAGTAATTACTTATGTTTCTGAAGCTGAAGAAGAAGCCATAAGCAACTATGGTGTCTTCAAAACAAAAACACAATTATTACAACAATATCTTCCTGAAGCAAGTTGTATTTGACTGAGGATACTCACTCCCCATTGCCAAAAGTCTTTGATACTTCTTCCTTTATGTGCTTGATTACACAACTGATCTGCTACCCTTTCCTCTTTCTTTTGATCATTCTTTGACACATAACTTGTTACCCTCCTTAAAAGAACCATCTGAAACTCTGCAACCAGGTAAGCCAACATCAGCTATCATTAAGGAAACAGATGAAAACTTCAATCTCCCAACCAATTCAACAAGAAAAAAGTGAGCCTCTAAAATCCAGAGAAATTTCCACATCCAAAATGTGTAAGCAACAGCCAATGGCTGTTGCTGCAAACAATGGCTGTTGCTGCAAAGCCAATGGCTGTTGTTTGAGTCTACAAACTATAGGAGAAAGTAAAGAAAACCCACTAAAACCCCAAGAAATGGTGATCATACATAATGCTTACAAAGTTAGCTTCTTGCTTAAAAGTTGCTTAAAGTTCATTAGATGTGGTCAGCCATATTCTTCATATAAAAGCTACAAACACTTATACCTGGCACATCTGCCTGAATAAAAAGCAATTCAAGAAATGCTTATTAATCATTATATAGAATTCCAGAAACAATAACAACTCATTATATATCCTTTTTCTTTCTCAACTGATAGCTTGTTTTGGGGGCTACCACCCCCAATTCCGAATCTGAGTCCTCGTCAGAAGATTCAGCTGCTCCCGCTTCATCACTCTCTTTGGTGCTGTCATCTTTCTTTTTTACTTCTTCGCCTGCTGGTCAATT